AGTCAGTGGACGCTGGCAACATCCGTTTTTCGTTCAAACAGGAAAAAAGCAGGTTTGTTTAGACGATGTGGCGACGTGCGTGGTGGCGCCCACGGGGCGCCGCACCAAAACAGAAGGACCGCGATGGCTCATGGCAGGTGTCCGTTGGGCTGTGTTGACTCTGCCTGAAGCATGACCACTGTCGTGCTTGTGTGTGAGGCGCCTTAGAAGGAGGCAGACATCACGCAGCTACTTGATTCAGTCTTATCATTAGTTGACTAGAAGACTCAGACATTACATCGGGGAACGGAAGAGAGGACAAATAATGACGCAGAGACAGAAGAGGTCAGAATGACATTACCAACAAAGACTAGGTAGCCTGAACTGGCCGATTCTGGCTTATTAGCCGTCATCAGCCAGTCAAACCCAACCTCGAGGCATACAACCCCCTTGTTCGAATTTCGAACTGTTGGTTGTAATTCCAACGTTCGGGTAAATTGACAATAGCAAAGGAACGCACACTGATCGCGCTACGGAACTTGCTCGTTACGTTGTGCCTTGAGGCTCTCTCTCGAGCCCCGCCTCGGGGGTTGCATACCGAGAAGGTGGGTATGGCTGGCTCGCGAGCATCAGACTGTGATGACTCCTAAATATGTCTCTTAGGACACCTATCATCCGCGTGAGATCGGATCTCGTGTGGCTTGCGATCGTACCTTTCATTCACTGATTGTGAGACGTCAACATTTACTCGTTAATGACAGGTTGAATGGAAGTGTCGTCGCATATCAAAGGGTTTGGATTACCTTAAATTTTCGAGAGTTGCTGCCTTGTCAACGCAACTTCTAAACATGCGCGATCTGATTCATAAGCTCAGCTAGTGAGGCGCTCAGCGAGAAATCAGGTTGCCGTTACGAAGGAGGACCATATTTGGACTTAGTAAAACTTTTTCGGCCGTAGAATTCTCGATTTCCCTAAGTAGATACCAAAGATGTCATAATTAATCATAAGACCTGTAGCTCTCGTCTGCCCCATCCACGTTAAGTGACTGTCATACTATCATAATAATGTGTCAAACTGTGTTTCTTATTCCTTCTTTCCATTGTTGGCGCCAAAGGGTTATTAAGGACTGAAATAAACTATTTTTAAGATTTTGCCGATCCACTGAATGATGTGGACTTAGGAGAATGCGTTTTTAGATATCACGGACATGTCAAAGTATGCTCTAGTAACAAGAAAAATGGTGGGGTCCTGAAAGAATAGTCGCCATCTTGATGGGAAGGAAATAGCTTGAAGCTCTCAGAAGACACAAGAGGAAGCGGAAAATGATTCAGTGCTGTGGGATGGAGCGAAACTTCTAAACAAATGGAAGATACCAGGGTAATTCCTGGGCTTTCATTCTTAAAAAACTGGGAGGCAAACCGCGCATCTCCACGAAATTGAGTGAATTCAAGAGAAAGAAATATCAGTGTTACGCGTCATCAGCTCTTTGGAACATATAGCACAAATAGAGTGGCAAAATAATAGTATAAGTTGTGTTTTTCGACCATGCTTTTCAGAAATCGTGAATAGCCTAGAGCCCGCCCCTTCTCCAGAGTCCCGTTGAAATGAAGCCTCGTTAATGTTTGTTTCTTGTCTTCGTAGAGAACAAGATTTTCTAGTCTACTGAGCAAAAATTGGGTTGGGCATCTATTCTTTTAGGTGCACAGCCTAAATGTGTAGGCAAAAAATAATAGGGGAAGCCCTGTTTAGCATTTATTAGAGGAAAAAAATAATGACCTGCACACGATGTCCCAAAAATGTACACACATCTTACCAGATGATGGCTGAATGTATACTTCTTTTGAGAGATAACCCATTATAACCAGTAGTAGCGGCCAGATTAAGCTTTGCGCATAAATGTTATTGTCAGCTAAAAGGAGCACACCCAGATGTTCACCGTGACATGCGACTTTACCCTGACGAGATCTTGCCAAACTAGTTGAATGAACTAAAAGGTTTCATAGGGTGCCCTCCTCATCACAAGACGTTATTATGAAGTGGTTAAAGGATAACATTTACACTACAGAAACGGCAGTATTCACACAAATGAGAGTAGCCGCTGGTTAGACGATAGTGCCATAGCACTTTATGTTACATCATCCCCAGCCACTTTTCCCTGACTCGTCTCGCAAGCACCCTAAGCCTACCCCTAATCTCCCTGGAATTTAGAACAAAGCCACTTGTACTGCGCAGAGTGCATGTTATTTTGACCTGCTTAAGGTCCATGTAGGTAAAGCTTACCGTTTATGCATCCAGAGTGGGAACGTTGCGCAGCCATTATGGGTTCAAAATGCTTGCCCGAACAAATTTCACACTTTGTTGTATTCGAAACGAATTGCTACTTAAACGATTAGATAGAAGTTGGGTTTAGGGTTAGGGTGTTTATGCGACAGTGGCTGTGAGATTATGTTAGATGTAGTGTTGCGACACTGTTATCTTACGCAATTTTTATTTAATGGGAATGTACATACAGTAGATGGGCTAACTTCTGAAATGTCAACCGAAATTTCGAAATGCGTTCTCGTTTCGAAAAGATTAATTAAGTAGGGTTGTAAAACTCATCATCACGCAGCATAGTTCCATAATGATCCTGTTACCTCAGAATGTCTCCTTTCGAATTATTTTATTTCCGACTGCATTCAAGAACTATACTATGCAAAAATAACTACTTAAGTAGCATGCAACTTTCTCATTGTTTTTCAATCCCCATCAAAATTCACTTATATTTCATGGAAAACATGCATAAAAATATTTATTCTTTTACTTACTCAGTAGAAACTCAAGTCTTATTCCAATTTTATGCTCGAAATATGAGTATGATTCGGTTTCAAAACAGTTTCTAATCGTGGGATTTTTTTAATACCATGAAATGGCCGTTCATAAAACGTCATGTATCTGCATTTACGAATGTGGCTTATAAAGGTAACAATATTGTTCAACTCCACTGCTTCATTTAATGAACCCCATATGGTCTCCTCTTAATACCGGAGAGAAATGCATGGTTTTCCGTACACGGAAAATATACAGCTTGTAATTTGGAAACCCTGAATGCAAGTGTAACAGAAAGTCGGATTCAAAATTATTTGGGAATCGGAAAAGTTTTTTGAAACCGAATTATACTCTCCTTTCGAGGATAAAATTGAAAGACGTGATTTTCTACTGAGTAAGTAGGAGAATGTATACTTTATGCATGTTTTCCATGAAATATAATTGACTTTTCAAAGGCATCTAAAATTAATGAGAAAATTGCATGCTAATTAAGTAGCCACTTTTTTCATAGTATAGTTTTTGCATGCAGCCAAAAGGAAGTTGGTTCGAAAGCCGGCATCCTGAGGTAACTGAAATATTAAAGAATTATGCTGCATAATGATTAGTTTTAGAAACCTACTTAATTAATCTTTTCGAAACGAGAACGCATTTCGAAATTTCGGTTGGCATTTCATGAGTTAGCCCACCTACAGTATGTACTAGAAAGTACTTTTATTGATTTTTGAGTTTCCGTCGGTTCGCGTGCGTTGTAGCTGAATTAGAACAGAGTTTGAAAATAATCATCGAGAAATT